CATGAATTGTTATTTAGCGGAAGCATATTTTTTGCCCGCTCGATCTGGCAGAGTTTGTTTTTTTTATAATCCGCTGTGCAATGGGCGAATATTAACGAGTCGGTGAACGGTGTTTCTTTAATTAACCGACTTACGAAATCATTCGTACGTTGGTCCCCGTCCGAATGGAACGAAAAGCTAGGCGCATGCAGTTAATCGGTCTAATTAGTTTGCGAAACGGGCGAATGAGCGAGCAGCGATCGAGAAAGCAGCTTCAAGAGGAAAATCGGCTTATTCGTGTATACGTTAGTTTGTGATTAATTAACCCTCGGGGATTGCCCCTGCCTGCCCCTTTTTTGGAAATAAACAAATTGCAGCAATATTGCTGATTAGTCGATCGCTTCGAGAAAAATTCCAGTGATGCGGTGTGATGACGTTTCCCTTCTTTTTCTATCGCAGTCCATTACCAGTTTCATGCGCTCGTTGGACGTTGGTGAGACGTGCAAGTCTAGCTGGCCGTTACTAACCCTTAATTTACAAGTTAAACCCTCGTCTCGCGATCTTTTTCTTGATCAGACTGACAACTGTTATTTTATTGTTGATAATTTTCCAGCACACACGAAAACTGTGTATTCAATGGAAGCGTAAATTGTTTAAGTAAAGGTTGAACATTCATGAACGTAAGATAGAACGATGCCTGTAACGATTAAATACGATGTAGATCCTTCGCCACATATATTCATGCACTTATGACATATAGCGTCGACTAAATTCTAGAATAAAAAATGTTTCAATTAAGTTAAACATAGCGTTATGTAATTCTTTTCGGTTCTATGTCGAGGCATAGTCGGAATTCAATTTTATTCCTATTAATACCATGATTTACACTTACGTAATTGATTTATATCATACTGAATCATGTTACAGTTACACATTACGTAAGAGTAATTTCAGCCCCAGCTAAATGTTATAAATAAATTAGTAAACTGACATATGAAGACATAGCAGACTTAAATTATGTTTATGCAAGTTTTAGAGTGAAAGACCGAGAACAGTTCGCACCGCGAAAGGTTAATATTCTCCTACACCTAGCAGAAACGTTTATTGAATTATTAAGCTTCCATATAATTCCTATACTTGTCAATTAATCCTAAAAAATTCAGTTTGTGTAACAACCAGTAATGATTTCTTCCACTAAGGAAAAAAATTGTAAGACACGCGAAATCATTTTTCCATCATTACAAACGGTGCAGCAATCTAAATTAGAACATCTCAGAACTTTTCCTGCAGTTGTCAATAGTTCCAAACATTTCATACTTCAAAGGAAAACCTCATCAACGATGTACCCTCTCGGCAAAGGAAAAGGGTAAATCTTCGAACTCGTTAAATATCATACATTAAACAATATTTCTTTTCAAACGATCGTCCCGCTCCGAAAAAGTTGCGCGTACACGACAGAAACCTCCGTGAGAATCGGTAAATCGCGATTACGTGTTTTAACGTTACAACGGACAGCCAACGTACATAGGTGCCGGCACCGGGGTCGGTTTCCCGTTTACGATAAATTTCGAGATTCGTTCATAACATTCCCCATTGCCGAGCGGTCTAAGCAATTAGACTTTCTAACGCAGGCGCGAGCGGGGTCCGGGCGTATATCAATCGCGGTTAATTAGTCGCCGGGTGGAAGGCGCGTTGGTTCGTTCGTGGGCGACGAATAAAGGCCGGGCATGCGCTCGCTGGCGCGCGCGCGCGCGCGCGCACGCACGAGAAAACATCGGCAACGCGATACCGTTGACCCCAATGGTAAATTGTTTTTCGAGAAAGCTCTCCGCGGATGCAAACTCCAACGGAGTTTAATTAATTGCGCACGCACCACCGGCGAACACGGCCCCGCTTGAGAAAGCTCTCCGCTAAGGAGAGGCACCGACTGCGATTATTTACGATTAATTAACTTCCCGTACGATTTAGAGAAATAAATTCCCGCGCGATGTCCCAGAGATTTTTCACGGCTTGACTTTTCAGACCGAGGTCAACCGGAGCCCGCTATACGCGAACAGATTCCTTCTTCTTCGTCTTGTTCTCCCCTTTCGCTGTTTTCCGGCAAGGGGACGTCGGGAAACGAACGTACATCCCAGCGGGGAGAAAGAGGATCGGCTAACAACGCTTTTGGCGAAAAGCTACACCAAATTATTCGCTGTTTATGGAAAACGCGACAACGCTTCCCGGTAAACCGGCTGCCTAACAATGGCCTCCCGGAACGGATAATTCGTTCCCGGGATCTACGAACACGGTGACCTTTGGATCTCCGCTGCGCGGCTCCTTGATGGATACCGCGAGGAATAACCGAACAATTGCCGAAGATTCTCAGAGGACTGCGATGAACTGTCGACCCTAGTTCCTTTTCGTCGAATAATTTCCACGGTGGAAATCGATGTGGCTTCTCAGCGAAGGTAATTAGAAAATTGTGCGGAATGTGATGGAAAATGCGATACAGGCGAGTTAGAAATGATTCTTCCCGCAAAAATTATTTCAGAACGTAGACTAACATTTGTTCGTTGGAGATTTAGGTTTCGATAGAATCGAATATTAGACACTGGTTGTTTATGCGTGCATTTTATATGCACCGTTATGAGAGTTTACAACAATGCTGCTTGTTACGAAGTAATGAATTCTTGAAAATGGTTTTTTCGTTGTCGCATGCAAATCTGTCTCGTCCGAGTACGGGTACGCGTACTCTTGTTAATGTTCCTTGACAAGCAGTCAATATTTTCCACTAAATATACGGCATTATAAATCTTGCAAATGAAACACCTAAGAAATTCGCTTCAATACAATAGAAAAATCTGACAAGAATATACGGTGCCTTTCTTCTACACATTCTATTTGTTTTCTAATAGAAAATAACGTGCCCTCTGATACTACTCTTTCAGTCACTGCTACACAACCAAAGTTCCAGTCTTCCTAAACAACCTCTCAACTAAGAACTTCGAAAACATCCCAGCTCTCTTACTACTCCGTTTCTCTCACAGAATCGCGGGAAGAAGACACGATTACTTCGACAACTCTTTGCTAGCACTGTTCTCCGTAAACAACTGACTAGTCTGCCACCTCGAAAAACCTTCGGAATCCTCGAACACACGCGTCAGACGATTTTCACCATTCAGGGTCGGGGAACGGATCAAAATATCCCGTACAATACGCGGAGTACCTGAAAAATCGGTCGCGGAGAGCAATCATGGACGTGTGTATGTATCGCGATTCCACTCGAGTAATACTCGAGGGAACACACTCGAGGCGGTTGACGTTGCACGCGTTCTGACAGACGGATCCGATAATATCGGGGCACTCGGCGTTCCTCAGATTTTTTCGCGGATCTTAATCGGGCGTCGTCCACGCTGGGCGCCGTCTTCGCGTGAACCGGTGTTGGTAAACAAAAGGCTTGGATATCTAAATCGCGACGGTGTATCGCGCCTCGGCGTCTCGAGAGGGCCCCTAATACCGGTTCCCTTATCTGCACACGAATCGAAATCTGGCGTGTCGCACGCGTTTCCACTGCGTTCCCGGCCCCGATGCTCGGCTGCACGCACCTCCAAAGCACGAACGTTTGCGACAACAGCTCGTAACGACGACGGGAACCGGTTAAAATTTCAACGCGAACCGGGCAACCAACCAGCTCGTGCCCCGTTGACGGGCCCCTCGCAGAACCGTGGAATCTTCTCTGCAATAGGAACCGCGACTAGATCTCGATAACGATAGCGAGTCCAATGAATTTTGAAAATATTTCGAAGGGGGAAACGAACGATTCGAACGTTTCATTCCTGGACTTGGAAGTAGGTGTCTTGATTTTTTAAATTGGTGCATGCATCTAAGTTTTGTGTATTCTAATGGAATTGTAGAATATGGAATTCATTTGATTTCAATTTTAAGACGAATGCACGGGATGGTGTATGAATTGAGTAGAATTTGGGGGTTCGTTTGACAGTGATTTCTCAGTGGAGAACACGTTAGCAGAATTTTCTGTAATTGAAAGTGGAAGTTCTTAATAATATCTGAGAAATAAAGATGTTGGTCGAGTGAACAATTTGAATAAATCGTTGAAACATTATACTTTTGTAACCAAGGTTTCGAGTCTCGTGAAAATGAACGATTGTGCAGGTTTCCGGTAAATCTGACACCGAACATCTATTTACATTCCTCTAAATTCGCTTATCCTTCGAGTATTCCTAAACACATTTCTGTGTGTTCTAATATAACCATAGATAATCACATTCTGTTCATTTGAATGCGCTAACACATCGGAGCAGAACACAAAACTTGAACGTGACAGAAATTTCTCAGTGAAAAACCTCTGTGAGGAACCAGACACGCTGCTTTCTCAGCGTATCGAACAGATTTCGAACTCTCAACGAGGAGCCCTCGTTATTCACGATGCTTGTTGAATTAAGAGAGTAAATCAACGTGTTCTCAACTGAAACCGGGTGATTCATGAACCATGGAGGAAAGCGAGATGAATAAATCGTTCCACAACGAAAGCGTCCTAATCCACGGAATAGGGGAACGAATTTCACGTACGAGCGGGACAATTTCCGAGGTCCGATCGACCATATTCGCAATTCCAACGAGTGTCGTCACTGAAACATCTCCGCGTACGGTATCCGACATACAAACTCCGTTGCAATTTTTCATTATCGGCCGGACGTTACGTAACAATCGCAAACTTTTGCACCACATCGATTCATCCGCGAAGACCCTGCCGCGATACACCATCGTCACGGTTTGATCTAGGGGGTTGCCTCACATTTCGCGTTTCCAACATTCCCGTGTGTCACATATCACAGAGGGACTTTCGTCCTCCCAGAACACCGGCGTCCAGTGTGAACCGCGAATCGGGATCGAGATCGTCGCGCGAACAAGAGGAACTTATCCTAGGCGGACCACTTTAATCCTGTCACTTGTTATCGGGCAGACACGTCGAACCGTAGCACTTATCTGATGCGAAACGTACGAAGAGTAGCACGTACCTGGGTTCATATCCCGCGTACTGCCAGTTTCCTCTAACCAGCAGTTGCACTGTTACCCTCTCGAAGCACTGTACTCTTGCAATCACGATACAATCAAAACTTCTTTTATCTTTTTTTTTCCTCGGCAATGGAACAACCAGCGATCAAAGAGGTCCCGAACACTTTTTAGCCGCGCTTTACTTCGCGCACCATCAGGCCGAGCGGGAGGCGGGGACTCGAGGAACTCGATCGGCTCGCAGGGTAGCACCGCGAGTAAAATTCGCGGCGTTCGGGCGAAACGAGGGATTCTATACTCCCGGTTTCCGGTAGCACAACACACAGTCCGAGCCCGCGCAGCCGGCTAGCCGGTAGAACGAAAACGACCACCCCCGAGAATCCGAGAGATAGATATCCCGACACCACCGGTTGTTCAACTATCCATTTAAACTGACGCGTGTTCCGACACTTCGACACTGGTTGTCCAAGACGGCGTGCGGCGTATACGAGTTTTGTCTACGCCGATGGCGGAGCTGGATCATTCGTGGTGTCCTGGTGTTCTCGGTCCAGCAGCGATCTTCTATTCGGATGTTTGAGCCGGGTGACGGGAGCAACCAATTCTTCGAGAGCTCCAATAGTGTTGCCGGGATCGAGGTGCAGCTGGTCAGTCAGTCAGTCAGTCAGTCAGTCAGTCAGTCAACCAGTCAGTCAACCAGTCAGTCAGTCAGTCAGTCAGTCAGGTCTTGGCAGGTATGTAGGCAGGCAGGCAGCAGGCAGGCAGGTTTCGGAGCTTGTTCCAGGCACGAGTTCCGTGGCGAACGATCACGTCACAGAGGCCAGACTTGGAGGACACCAGACGAGTCCAGAGAAGTGTAATGGAGTAAGTATCGCGCGCGCACTAGTGAGGCATAAGCACCGGGTGTATATCTCCGTTTTAGATCACCGTTTCCTTGGTATACGCCGGGACCGCGAACAACTCGTTGATAATCCTTGGCGGCGAAGCGTGTGGCGGGCAGCCCGGGGCCGGCAGAGGGATATATGAGAGTAAAAAAAAGCCGTGAATAGAACGAACGGAAAAAAGGAAAGAAAAGGAACAACAGAGGAGAACCGACGTCCACGTCCGTGCGTCCAACCCCTCGGTAAAACGCAAACCGATGCCCGGGACCCGTGACGAGGGGGTGGCGACAGTACGTTGCTCGTTGCGTGGAAAACGGCGGCGAAGGCTCGCCGGGCACACCGCAGGCTCTCTCTCTCTCTACGCACAGAATAATATTTTAATGAAGGAAAGACCGGACAGCGAAGTGCCCACGTCGGGTCGCGCTGCCGAACTGCTCGCTTCCCCGCCCCTCCGCGGCCAGCCGCTTCCACCCCTCCACCGCGCCGGGTACCCCACAGTGTGCTCCGTGTCCGGACGATCCCCACTATTCTGCCTCACCTCCACACCGAGCTGTGCACACGCGCCCCTCCAAGCTCTCAGCGCGGCGGCAGCTGCGCTGTCCAACTGGTGGGGGTGAATGGGCGTGACTTATTGATGCGACTGGGCGTGGCCTAGCGAAGTCTGGGATGCTGCGCTGTCTCTGCTTGGTGGGAGAGCTCGGCGCGCCGCTCTCCCTGCCAGCCAGCGACCGCTGCCCCCACCGTATCGCGTGGACACGGCCGGCCAAAGACAGCGCTTCGGCGACAGCGCAGAAGCTGAGAACGACTCCGCTAAGACACCGTGCACCCGCGGTGGGGGAAGAGGCGCGAGTCGCCGCTTCTGCCTTGCAACTTCCCGGATATTTTTCCGGTAAACTTTCCTCTCCGAAGGGTAGGCTCTCTCTATGCCTCTACTCTTCCTCTCTCTCTTTTCCTCCCTGTCTATCTGGTTCTCTCTATCTTTCTTTCTCGGTTGCTCCCTCTTTCGCTCAGCCGTCCGGACGTATCGTCTGCCTGACTCGATCGAAGATCCAGGATTTCCGACGGGAGGGGACGCCGGTAGACGTCTTCGTTGCGTATACTTTTATTCTCTCCGTGTTCCTCTTTTTTTCCCCTCTCTTTTTCCCTCCTCTTCCCGACGAGCCCGCTCGAGGTCCTCTGTGAGAGTTTATCGGTGTGTCTGTGCATGATATTCTCCTTTTCAGGACCTGTTAAAATGTGACTCGCGTCTCCAGGCGTTCAAGTTAGATCAATTTCGTCGAGTTTCGGGGGCCAGGGGGTGGCGAAGTGCGTTTTCGGTGTCTAGTCGCGTTCTCGTTACCGGGACCCCGGCCTCTCTTGTTCATTTTACTGTCGCTTCTATCACCCGCGTCGCGGCCTCCGCGTTCCTTTTTCTGGGAATTCTCACCGCGGAGGACAGGAAACTTCTAACTGAAGAAACTTATGCCTCGCTGTGCGCAGAACGATACTTGATTTTCAAATGTTCCGTGGCGCAGCGTGGCGCGCGGTAACTAGACGGAAACATTGATGGATATGCATTTGCATGAACGTTAAATATTTATTTCCGCGGGCGCATCGCTCCTGCTTATACCACGGTGTCTTGGGATACTCATCTGTTGACGGATCGAAGGGATTACCACGGAATGCCAGTTTTTCTCTTGCTCGGGGCCGAGTCTATGATAACCGCCATTGTAGCTCGCGATGCTAGGGTTACCGGCGCGCGTTTGAACGAACGACAACTGCGGAATGCGTGAAAACGATTTATACGGTTCCCTGTTTTCCAGTGGAAGACGATGTTACCTTGGAATCTTTGCTTATCTAGACGGGATCGTTTATAGGACTACAAAGTTGTATTCTTCAGCTTTTCATTTTCTCGCGAATGAATATTTTATGAGCTATCGCAAGCAGACAATTTCTTGCAGAGTTTTTTAAGGAAAATATAACGCATGTAGCTTCGAGTTTTTACTTTGGATTGATCCATTTTAACAAAATACATGCGCGAAGTACTGCAGAGATCTCAGGAGATGGCAGTCGGGGTGTTACGGGTGGCAAGAGGGTCTCAGTTCGCACTTCCCTGCCTAACAATGAAACAAAGTGGCGTGACTTTTCCGCTAATCTGCGAAATGTGTATGCTTTGTTTTTATGTGTCTCCGTCGATGAAAGTCGTTCCGACGGGCGACAGCTAATCATAGCTGACTGCCATCTTGTACGTTGTTCAGGAGAAGAGCCCTCAAAGGAATGCGGGTCTCATTGGTCAGAATGGCAAGAGCACGCCCTCTGTCACACGGATTTTCAGTTCCAGTATATTATTCGCTGAAACGCTCACACACAATAGACGAATCATGCGTGGAAGTGTGTAAACAAGGGTTATAGGTGGGGATGGGCGGGTCTAGTGGAAAACCCCCCTTGCCCCTGTGCAGTCCTGGGGCTCATCTCCTAAACAAGACACAATATTGTACAAGAGATGATACTTTATTCACTTGCTTTCTGTAGGTTCGACACTGATGTAAAACTGCTAAAAATATTCCAAATGTAATTAAATTAATCGTCCATAATTTGATCAAAATGTTTAAAATCTCGAGAAAATCACACTCCACTGAACGATTTATGAAAGACCGAACCGATCATGATCGAACAGAGTTGAATCGGCTATTTAAGGGCCAAGTGGTAAAGAAAAGAAGGGGGGAGTGGTGTATCTATGAATGGGTGAACCGAAAGGAAAGAGGCACTATTCGTTCAAAAAGGGATCCCAGTTCTGTCTTCGGTCAGTTTTACTGCACTTTCAGGATTCCAGGACCTGGGGATGGCCCTCGGCCAGGTGTCTCGTCTTGCAAAGAGAAACTCATAAACTGACTTTAAACCGATTTCTCCTTCCGTTCCACAGAATCACTTTTTCTTTCGACCAAAGACGTATGTCTCTTTTTGAAAATAGCGTACCCGAAGAGCAGGGTATTCATAATTTTTGATGAATTGTGCTGCAAAAGGTAACTGCACAATGAACATCTTTTAAAAAAAAGGAAATACAGGGGTCATGCGTTACGATTTGAACGCTCAGCCATTCGAGCATCTTTCCAGTGTGCTTTGTTCATAAATGAAATAATAAACGTCTGATTTATGAGGATATACCTATTATACAAGAAGCTCTTCGCTTAGTTCCATTCGATTTACACTATTTGTGAATATAATGTGTGATTATTAATTTTTACTATAATCCGGTTTATATAAATTTTCCTCATCACTTTTTTTCAAGGATAAGAGAAGATACATCAACGTATGAAATAACCGAGTGATGATATAATCAAGATAAATAATCGATTATTGCTTTAGCTTTGTGTACTCCCAGAATTTCCATATTATTTTCAAAATTTAAATACATCATACTACTTAATAAATACATGATAATCCACCAATCAGAATCCTCTGTACACGCATTCTTCAAATCCAGTTTTTAAACAATTTCCCCCTTCCATTACAATACCCCATAAGAATTTATGCTTTCTTTTATTCACGCACACTTCCGAATCTGTTCCCGTAAAATTGACTCTTCCGTGGTTAGGCATGACGTTTCTTATGCAGAAACTCGACCATCTTTCACGCTCCCATTCAAAAAAAGTATACGATATACTAAAACACGTTACAGCCAATGTTCTCCAACATCTAACATCGTCGTTTCCAAGATCATTCCCTTTATTACTCGGCAAATGCACTCGTAACTGCGTAAAGGTCTCGCGGAATGCGTTCCGAACGAAGTGCGTGTTACAATTAAAATTCATTTCAATCACCGATTCCGTTCATCGATCTTACCTCATCCGTCCGATCGAATCGCTTCGCGACCAAGAGAACCGGTCGAGTTTCCGTCCCGTTCAATCGGAGGGAAACAAGTGTACGCTATCGAAGTGGCGAGTCTAGTAGAGCGGAGGGAAAAAATGGATTTTAACAGAGGCGAAAATGGCGGGGTGTGTGCGTGGAGCGGAGAGATGGTTCGTCGGCCCGCACGGTTTTATGGGGTCGTCAAAACGTTCCGCGATTCTCCGGTATGCGCCTGGCTCCACGCATTCCTCGTCGTCGGTGAGGCGCTGAGAAGCCGCTGACCGTGTCCTGAACTATGAGAAATATTACAAAGAGTTAAACAACGACACGGTAGCCCTAGCCTGATCGTTCGGCTCGCAACGCGCAACGGTGGGAAAAAGGTTGCGCCGAAAAAAGCCGGCCGAACGCCGCCGACGCGCCGCTTGGGAACCCGAAACGATTCTATCCGTGCTCTAGCAGTCGGCCGCCGTAAAATCGAATTACTATCGTTTTACCTCGGCAGCCTATCCGGACGATTTCAGGATTTTTCCTCGCTACGCACGACGAACCGTTGCTTGCGCCTCTCTCAGATAGTTAACGTTCGGAAGCGCGGGGTAAATCCTATGGAAATTTTGCTGGG